GGGTGAGGTATGCCGATGTCGTTCACGCGCCACGGCTGCCGCTCGATCAACAACTTAACCGGATTTTTCATCTCGTCGAGCTCCAAAAGCCTAGTGCCCCAAGAAGACCCCCCACTCCTTCTAAAATCCCACGAAACCTTGCCCAAAACAAAAACGTGATCTTTGCCTAGGTTGTTGTACCACGGGCCTTGTGTCTCGAGCCACCTCACGAGTTCAAGCGCCAACGAGTCCTTCACATCGTTCGAGACGTTCTTGAAATGCCACCTCAGGATGTCGAGCCCGCCGTAGTACGGGACGTAGAATAGCTTGGCCATGTTGTGGTCGTATACTCTGCACGGATGCTTTAAAATCCGAGCATGGAAAATGGGTTCCAACGAGTATTGGTGCGTGTGGTGCCATCCCGAGCCGAGGCTTTCGATTGGCTCCCCTAATGCATTGTTGGTTAAGAACCGGCAAAAGTCGGCCCATGGGATCATTTCCTCGCATTGGGCAAGCAAGTCTTTGTTGAACTTTGAGGGAAGTTTGTATACGTAAATCCCTTTTTCTTCGCACGTGGTGTGGTCCGAGGAATTTGAGATCCACGACCGGTGTGTTTTTATCTGGTCCTCGACTTCTTTGTAAGCGTCTTCTAATGTTTGGTTGCCGAATTTTTGTTCGATGTTAATTACGCTTGTGCTGTCTGAGGGAGTATCTGTGGGTACAATTTATAACATATACAGACGATTAAGGTAGCAAAAAATCATGCGTTTGAAAACGTTAAAAACGTGCGTTTTAGTCACTGAGAGCACGAAAGCTCTCAAGTACCTTCTTTTGCTCCACGGTCGGCTCTTGAATCAGCAACATCGTCCGAGTCTTCATCATTAACTTTCGAAGAAGTGTGATTAGCTAATGAAACTGGGATTTCGAAATTGGGTCGTTGAGTACCGGCCGACAAGCAGTACAAATTGCTGAGCTTTCTAGACGACACGCACACATGAACAATGCTGCCCGAGAAAACAGTCGTAGACGAAGACCATACATACACAAAAGCTAAGAAAAGCAGAGCTAAGGGCACTCTGAACAGAAATTTTTCAAAGAAACGGCAAAAGAGACTACTTTCATCAGCCTCGTGTATCTTTTTGGACAGCCTTTGTTTTTTCCTAGACACAGGGACAGCCATTTTTAGGACACACTTCTTTTATTAACATAACCTTCTGCTGGTGCTTTAAATAGTGGACGGTGAGCTTTTTTCTGGGCTCAGAAGAAAATTCCGGTGGAGACATGGGAGCACGTTTTGGAATAGAAACGTTTGACTATCAATTTTATTATTAGATGTGATGAGATTTCAGCTTATAATTCAGTCTGTTCATTGAATTTAAATTTAATAGTTTGCTGGCAAGAGTTGGAAAGTCAAAATAGACCAAACTGTAGTGATGATATTGACATATTGTTCTATGAGTGAAAGAGTGGTGGTTAACTTGCAATTATGCACTCATAATTAATTTGCATGAGACACCTGGATAGATAGACAGGGAGATGCTATGGTCCAGTTACGAAATCATTCTGTCGGGGTTTGTAATCTTTTAGATCAACTATCACTAGCGGTTACATGATGATCTAACGGTTACAAACCCCGACATAATGGTTCCGTAACGCGATCGTAGCATTTTCCTTATGGTGTTTTTTTGGGCATGAATCTTCACGATCCATTATTAGCTCAACCCTGAAAAAAAAAAAAAAAAAAGAGATGCTACGGTCCCGTTACAAAACTATTCTGTCGGGTTTGTAACCGTTAGATCAATTATCCCCGATGGTTACATGATAATCTAACGGTTACAAATCCTGACGGAATGATTCCGTAACGGGAACGTAGCTAACTTAACTCGGGTGAGCATAGAGTAGGCACAAAATGCACATAATTCATTAAGATAATAATTATTTTACTAATATTACACTACAGGTCTCCTGAAAAGCACACACACTACAGGCATATTAGCATTAGTTCCCAGAAAAAAAAAAACACACACACACACACACACATACACATCCATGACCTGCCATATAGAAGGTTCAGAACACAGCTTACAAAAACACATTACAACAAGAAGCATACACACCTCAATTTATTTCCCACATACCATCCCTCCTTTCCTTCTTGTTTTTTCTCCAAAGAGAGCACAAAACTACAGCATGCTGTCTGTCCTGGCAGGCAGCCGCCGGAAAAAGTTAACCGGCACAGACGGCAGCCTGTACCTGAACCTCGGGTGCCTCATCATGTAAATCCCCCCAAGAGCCGCAATCACCTGGAACGGCGTCACGTACAGCACCAATGCCGCCACCAGGCATAACGTCACGAAAATTCCCGTCGCGCGTGGGTCCCGCCAGCTCAGCAGCGAGTGCACCCGTTCCCCCTGCGTTGCGACATCACCCACGACCGTCTGGATCCTCCCTGCCACGCTCCGCAGCCTGTCGTACCTCATCCGTACCAAGTCCGGGTTACGGCTCGTGGGGAACGTGTCGAACTCCTCGTCCAGCTCGTCCGGGTGGACCCCTTCCGCCTGCGAGATCTTGGTGTTCATGTGGGGCGGGTACCTTGGCCGGTAACGGAAGTTCCAAATGCCGATCAAGAACATGTAGAGGAAGACCGTCGGGAGTATCAGCTCGGGAAAGGAGACGAGCATCAAGTAGAGCACGTGGACGAGCACAGTCGTGACCGGGTTCCGCCACATGCATATGTCCCCGAACCACTTCCCGACCGCGAATAGGCCAGTGAAAACCGACATCAGGCGGAAAAAGTTAGCCTTGCTCCTCCGCATGCTCCACATGTGAGAGTCCATGTCCGACATGTACTCGACGACTTCTTTCCGGAGAGGGGGCTCGGCCCGGCCCAGCCTCATGGCTACAATGTTGACCGCCTGGTGCCTCAGCATGTCCAGCTGCATGACTGTGAACGGCCGTACGTAGTGCATTTTGGGCAGAAGCGGGCGGGAGTATACGTATAGCATGTTGGCAAAAGAGGTGCATGAAAATCGTAAGGCTAGGTGCAGCTCGCCCATTTTCTTGACGCCGGTCGGGTGAAGGACAAGGAGCGGGTAGGAGTGTGTGTAGACCCGACCCGTCTCGAGCGTCGAGATCCGGATCCGGACTTTCCCGATCTTCAGGTCCTTGCCGTTGTTGGGGCCCTTGTCCCCAAGCTGGCTGTTGTCGAATACACCGACCGTGAGGACGGTAGCAGGGTCAAAGACCTCCCATGTGTACTGCTCGTTGTATTTGGGGAAAAGGTTGTCGACAATCGTGCGGGTCCGGACCCATTTGTGGCCGTACTTGGCCACACAGTACGTATCGGATGTGCCCTTCCCATCACGCGTCTTCATCGGGTGGAGACCGACCGCATTCAGTATCCCGAGCTCCAAAATGCCGATCGGCGGCTTCCACAACTGTTTTGCCGTCGGGCGGAGATCGCTACTGTAGTGAGTCGACTCGTCCAGAACATGGTAGCCTCCATCTAGACAGACCCGTAAATGGAGCCTGCTCGAGAACTTTTCTTTCTTCAATTGGTCAACATCAACAAGAACCGGCTTTTCGAGGTTAAACCAACGGGAATGCACTATACGATCGTCCGCCCGTTTCTCCACCATATTCAAGGGTATGATAACCCTCCCGAGTATCTCGTCTTTCCCCGGTGCCACACGATCCTCGACCGTGAGAACAAGATGATCCTCAAAGGGCTCAGCGGCCACAAAAAACAGATCCTCATTCCATAACGGGTTAAAATTCCGGGCCTGCATCGGTTTTGTCCTCACGACTTGGTTCCCTATCTGTGCCTTCACATAAGCATCTGGAAAGCGGGTCTTTTCAGTTGGGACCAAGTCTTGAGCCTCGACCACATTCACACGCACGTACCACAGGCGTGGGGCGTGATACACCTTCGAGCGAATGAGTGCGGACGAGGCTGCTGAGCTGTCGACAGGTGTGGCCGCGTCCGAATGCCACGCATCCGGAAAAGCCTCGTCCGCTTGGGTCCCGATCCAGACGGCAAGCATGAGCTCCCCTTTTATTTTCAACCCTTTTTTGTCTTCCAGACGATACCACTCGGGAGCCAGAGGGCTATCGGGTGGCACACGCATCGGGACCTCGTTAAGATCAAACCTCACAAGACCAACGAAATCATCTTTCAATAGATCTTTATCCTTCAGAACAACTTCAAGCACAGACGCCTGCATCCTCTCCCTCGAGAAGGCAAAAACAACATTCCACATCGGGTTCTGCTGTTTCTCAATGTGCCTGGTCACGCCTTTGTAATTCCCGATTCGGACCTCAACGTACGGGTCAAGACTGCCGGTTACATCCATTGCGGGAAGCTCGCGGGCCTTGACAACCCGGACGAACAGAAAGTGCATCTTCTCAACAAGATCGTACGTGCCCACAGCTGCCCGCTCGGTCCGGACGACCCGCCCACCGACTATGCGGCCCCCACCAAGGAAGGGGCTTGTCTCCTTGAGGGCGTAATCGACCGGCTGGGCTGACGAGGCCGAGTTCATGCGGACAAGCTTTGGGGGTATCGGCTCGGAGGCCTTCATCTCGTCAGCCATATATTTAGTCGAGTGGTGATGAGGTTCGATTGGTGGCGAGGGGTGATGACTACTGAGGTGGTGGTGCTCGTGAGACGTATCACGTTTTGGGAGAGTGTGGAACGTGTGCCTTTGCTTGTTTCTTGACTCATGGGAGTCCCTATTTTCGTCAACTGGGACGGATGACTTTATGGAGGGGTCGTCTGTTAGGTAAATCTTGAGGCCGAGCTCTCCACGGACGCGGGAAAAGATTCCCCGTTTTTCGAGAGGATAGTGAAGTTCAACTGCATCAGCATGGGGTACAAACGAGGTACCACTGATGCTGACTTTTCCGAGGAATGCTCGGGATTGGGTGGCTCGGACGTTGTTGTAGATGTAGGCATCGAGGGTGAGGCAGTGGAGGACAGCGGGATCGGATATGTTGAAGTAGAAGGTCTCGTTCCAGACGGGGTTTAGATCTTTTTCCTTGATTGTCGAGCGGAACTTTTGGCCGTCAAAACAGAGCTCCACGTAGGCGCTGGACGAGCCCTGCCCATCTTTCGGTAAGAGATTATGGGCACTGATGATGTCGACCCCAAGCTTTAGGTTCCCGATGGTCATTGAGGTCTGCTTATATTACAAACCACATGTGAAAACACAAAGATATTAGAAAGTAAACACGAAGACACATCAACGGTCATAAAAATCAAACTGAAAAAAATGTTTTTCAGTAACAGAGACCCAATAACAAGAATCTCATTTTTGTAGTTTACAATACTTTTAAGAGAAAAAGGGAAAAACCACAAATCTTAAATTCTCAACCCGAGCATGCATCAGTTTCATGATCAATGAAGCCAAAATGAAGAAAATAGGCTATGGTGGAAAGGGTGTATAAAGTTACAATGATCTACAGTATCATAACTGCAACTAACTAAACCAATCTGGTTATATAGCCATTTTTCTTTTTCTTTTTTTTTTTTTCAGTTCAGCAATATTTTGTCATCTAGATATGGGGATTGAGAACCATACGCAGGATTGAATATTTGGCAGTTGTGTTATTACGAAAACACGCAGTGGAAAGTAAGACGAGTCGGTTCTACGACACATAACGGTATCATTTGTCGAAACAAAATTTTAACCAGTTCAAACAGAAAGTCATCCTTGTTCAATACAAGATGCGTTCGTACGTAGATTATTCCCACCTCACCACTGATGATTCAAGTAGTCGAGAGTCAAGTCCCCGAAAACAACCTAAATACGGAGAAACTTCACACTTGCAGCAAATGCAATGTCTGCAGCTGAGGATCTCCTGAAAACAAAAACACAAAAATGAGAGGAGAAACTATAATGAGTAATCGAATCGTTTCACGTTAAGTTCAAATGGATAAGTCGGATGCAAACAAAAATCATGCACAAGGAAACTGCTAGATGTTTCTTACATAAAGTTGCAGAATGATAAAAACAATTGTTTACACAGCACACATAAACAGATCTCCATTAAAAATAATATTTTGAGAATAGCTTTAGAGAATCATAATCATCAGGCCCACAAGATAAAGTAGCAGTGCTACTAATAATTAAAACATAGACTGCTATAGAGGACAAGGAAATGAAATCACTTTCACTGAAAACAACAGATTCTAAACCAGTATCTCCTCAGCTTCCAACTAAACAAAATGAAGCAAAAAAAAAATTGTGAAATGTGAAAAGATTTGGGGCTATGAATAATATTTTAATGGAGCTTAAAAGGCAAAGAGAGCCCACATCAACTGTAAGAGTAGTAATTATGTTAAACATTAGGGGGGAAATTGGAAAATTAGAAAGATGAGGTCAACAGTTTAGCAGAGAACCATGTGAGGGCGTACCTCATGGCGAGATCTATGACTATGAGCCTAGAAACAAAGCATTCTTGCAGTTGAAAAAGTAAGCAAATAAATTAATAAATCTTAAACCTAGTAATTCTAATTGCTATTTGCTGGCCCTCAAGGCATAGATAATTTACGGGAGATGCTACAGTCCCGTTACGGAACCATTCCGCCGGGATTTGTAACCGTTAGATCAACTATTCCCGACGGTTACATGATGATCGAACGGTTACAAACTCCGGCGGAATGGTTCCGTAACGGGACCGTAGCAGCATTTTCCTTTAATGTACTTTTATAAGTACTCGTGGTACAAGGCAAATATACCTCCACAAAGCGTTAAAGGGCATACAATTTTTTTGCTGGCAGATAGAGAGAAAACTGTATGAAAAAATGCAAGCATAATTACAAAAAAAAGGAAAGCTATTACACTTTAATCTTATCAAAAGACACCAACTTTGGAATGATTACAATCGGACAGGAAAATAAAAGCGAATAAAAAAGGACAACTTTCATAGTAACATAATCAAGGGAATGATAAGGATTTACCAAACTCGAACAATTTAAAAATAAAGTTCAGATCTTGAGCTCCAGAACAGAATGTAGAACAATTTTCGAGCTTGTGCCTGCTTGTAAGAACCAAGAACACAGAATCTTTACACCTAATATGGAAAACCCATCAGTAGCTTTCTGAAATTTTGAACAGACACAGTGTTAAAATTACTCAAAGAGCATAAAAATAAACAAATAAAATCAAAATGGGACACGTTAAAATCAAATAAAGATACCTCGTTTTTACGTTTCTCAGCTGAAATATTTCAAGAACCCTCGACCGCCATTGCAGAAAGCTTGAAAGAATTTGTAAACATATATCTACTGAATAGGGCGTTAGTAACACAATGCAGCCACTTTACTGTTAATAGTGGCTGAGAATTGGGTGATTCTGTGGAATGAAGGAATTTTTCAGGTTAATTTGGAGGTGGGAGATGACAGTCTCAGAGGGAAGGCATTGGAATTGGAACTCGGAACAGTCGCACGTTTGTGCCATACGTTTTAACTTTGCAATAATATAGAAGATTGCGCAGAAATTGACGTTACATGCCTTAGCCAGTCAAAATTGTATATGTGTCATTTTGATATTTGACCAAAAATTAATTTATTTTTTTTTGTTAAGAAAATAAATATGCATTTACAATATAGTCTTCACGATATAACCCAACTAGTATTTGACCTTGTGCATTTGCACATATATAAAAAAAGTATTATAAGATATTTGTATGCATATATATTAAAATTATAAGAACATTATGATATTAAATTTCAAACAAAGAGTATTAGATATATATATATATATATGCATAAAATATTAAAATTATAAGTTAAATACTGACATTATGTTTTAAAATTTGATCATTGGTTAAAATAAATAGTAGATAGTGATTTCATTGCAGATGAATCACTATATTGATTGCAAAAAAAAAGTAATAAATAACGTATTTTGTAGTTCTAATGTTGCATGACCAATTAATTAGCTGAAAAATATTAAACTTATTATAAAAAATTTCTTATTTGGTTTTAAGAAATTTTACTATGACTTTAAGATAAATTAATTTATTTGAAAAACAATTGCTTAATCAAATAAAAAATATAATATTGATTTTAGAATAAATCATTTGAACATAAAGTTTTTACAATATAATATTGATTTTAGAATAAATCATTTTGAACAAAAAATTTTTAACAGAGTAAAATATAATTAATAATTTTAATAATAACTATTATATGATATAATAAAAAAAATATAATTATTATTCAATTAATATAATAAGTAACTAATTTTGTTTAAATTAACCAAAAAAAAAGTGCAAGTTTTTTTTATCATTAATGGGATATAGTGAATTAATGTAATAACAATAATAATAATAATAATAATAATAATAATAATAATAATAATAATAATAATAATAATATTAATAATAATAATAATATAGTGTAACGGTTTTGTGTTAAGAAAGTTACCAAATTGCCCTCCTACTTAATTACACATCAATACACCATTATGTTTTTATTTTTTCTCTCTCCTCTCTATCATTTATTAAGACTAATAAAGTTTAATGAGGTAAAATTTATTAAGTAAAATTAAATAAGTTTTATTTATTAGGTAAAATTTATTGCTTAGCTAGCAATTATATAGACTAGTTATCATCCTGTGCACATGCACAGATGTACATAAAATATTATAAGTGATATGTGTGAATTTAATATTAAAATTATAAATGATAAACATATCATATTTTCAAGATATGTGAATTTAATATTAAAATTCTAGACAATGGACATACCACATTTTCAAGATTTAATCATTAGTAAAAATAGAATAATATTTATATAAATTATTTGAGTACATATGAACCAATATATTAATTAAAAAAAAGTGAGTAATGTAATTTTATTATTATTATTATTATTTATTATTATTATTATTATTATTATTATTATTATTATTATTATTATTATTATCATTACTATTATTATTACAACGATAATTGTTTATAAGATTTTAAAGGTTTTTTTACATACTATTAAAACTATTTACTAATTGTTTCTAACGAAAATTGTTTCATGAAATATAAAATTAAACTAATAATAATAATAATAATAATAATAATAATAATAATAATAATAATATCATTCATAAAACCTAATTAAGTCTAATCATGTATTTATAAAACCTAATTAATAAAACCTCATTTATTTTCCCTCCAGAAGAAGTTACAAAATTTGTCATTCATATTTTGTCTTTCACATAAATACACCATATTAAGTGTAATCATGTATTTTTTTACTATTATATTATATAATAGTTAATGCTGTTACTAACTCATAATATTTCACACTAAATATAAATTACATATGTATAGACAATTTTAGTGTTTCAAGATATTATTATTATTATTATTATTATTATTATTATTATTATTATTATTATTATTATTATTATTATTATTATTATAATATTATTATTATAGTAGTTAATGTTATTTTTTGCTATTATATTATAAAATAGTTAATGCTATTAATATTTTTACTTGATTACACTTAAAATATTAATGACAAATTTTGTAACTTCTTTTGGAGAGAAAATAAATGAGGTTTTATTAATTAGGTTTTATTTATGAGGTTTTATTTAATGATTAGCTAGCAATTATATATATAGATAACAGTCTCACAATGCCACTAATAGCCAGGATAGCTTGGTAGTTCGTTCAAGTTGGTTTGTTCGATCTGATCTTGATACGAGTCATATATAGCTTGGTAGGTCGTTCTAGTTAGTTCGTTCGATCTGATCTTTGATACGAATCAATTGAGATGAAGTTATTAATAAAAACAAAATAAAATATGCATGTGATCTTGTTTTTTTAAAGATTTTAAGCAAGGACATTACTAATTAAATAAAATAATTTATCTATTTAATTAGATAAAAGACATATGTCAACATTTAAAGGTATGTCTATTGTTTGTATGTATATATTAGACAATGTATGGGCAAAACTAATGATAGACTGTATAGTTTCATAAATGATTCTAACAAAATAAGAAAACATTTTTCTTACTAACACATAATAGATCTTGAAAAAAAATTAATGCCTAGATAAATTTAAGGGTAGATATTTTTTTTCTAACATGCACTATATTTTTTGGATTTTCAACCTAAAGTTTTTTTTTGTTGTAAAATGCAACATGAACTACATATATACAATTATTTGCACGCTCGACTAATTTTTGACCGTCCGATCATCTGCAAAACAGGATACGTGTATGGTCAAGATGTGGTCGAGCGTGCAAAAAGTGACTATATATGTAGTTCAAGTTGCATTTTACAACCTATACTTTAAGATGAAAATCTCAAAATCACATATGGAAAAAATTATTTACCCTAAATTTAAAACATTGTGGTCAACGCACTACATGATCATATCTTGAAATTTGAAAATGCAAGTAATTTGCAACTGTGATTTTTAGTAACAGCAGTGCAGTTACTAAAAATTTTTACACATGTCCATTTTATAACGTAACATAACATGTTCATTTTAAAAAAAATTGGCACACATAAATAAATAAAAAAATTAAGAAAAAGACCTTGAAATTTGACCATTTTAATGCGTCTCGGGAGATGGCATTGGTGGTCCTCATTTTCTGCAGTCTCTCATTTTCACTGCCACGTGCGGGCCCCACGTTCCATTGTCTCCCATTTCGAGGCATCCCATTTTGTTCTTTTCCCTTTTTCTTTTCTTAAAATTAGAGGTAATCCAATTTTTTTTTATTTGTTTTATTTTGTTAACAAAATACAAATTACATTCAACATAAAATGCAAATTCGTCCATTATGAATTTAGGGAAATGCTACGACCCGTTACAGTATTATGCCGTCGAGATAATCGATCTAACGGTTATAAATCGTGACGAAATGATTTCGTAACGAGATTATAGCATCTTACATGAATTTAATCAAAATAATAACTCGACTTATTGTCCTGTTTTGTCGTATAAACATCTTCAAATTACAGAATACATAATCCAATGTTATTTTATTAAATCAGTTAATTTCATTACAACACAATGTTTCAACTCCCTAGTACAAGATTATCATTAAATCTTGACCTTATAATTTCCCACCCACCTGCAGAGTATCTAGCACCTTAGGCCTCCTGTAATTCTTCAGCAAAAGAGAGCTGCAAACCACGCTGACCGAAGACGCCGCCATTGCCCCACCGGCCACCCACGGCGGCAGCCGGAAACCCGTCCACCGGAAAATAGCCCCCGCGGCCAACGGGATAGCCAGGACATTGTACCCAAGGGCCCAGACATAATTGAGTCGAATTCGAGAAAATGTTTTCCTCGAGAGGTCAATGGCTGTCACCACATCCTCGAGGTTGCTCCTCATTAGGACAACATCAGCGGCCTCGATTGCAATGTCTGTGCCTGCCCCAATCGCTATACCCACGTCTGCCGCCGCCAGCGCCGGCGAGTCGTTTATGCCGTCCCCCACCATGGCCACCGTTTTTCCGGCAGCCTGCCGGTTAAATTTTTAGAATTATTGGAAAAAGAAAAAAGAACGTATACATTTAGTCTATGTGGTTAAGATTCACTAACCTGTAGTTCTTTCACTTTGTCTGCTTTGCGTTCGGGTTTAGCTTCTGCGATCACAGTACGTATGCCGACCTCTTTGGCAATTGCATTTGCAGTCCCTTCGTTGTCACCCGTCGCTATCATGCTTTCGACTTTCATCGACTTAAGAATGGAAATTACTTCTCTTGCTCCCGGCTTCAGTGGATCGGACACGGAAAGTATCCCGTGCAGCTCCTTATCGATCGACACGAGGATTCCAGTTTGAGCAGACGTTTCGGCTTCTGCCAGTATTTCTTCAGCATGCACTGGAATAGTAACATTGTGATTCGACATTAGACTCTTATTCCCCACGAGGACTTGTTTGTTTCTAACGAGTGCCTTCACACCGTGGCCAGTTATGGACTGGAAATCACGGGCCTCGGGCCAAACAGAGCTCTGTTTGGCGAGACAGCACGTTTTAGCATACTCGACGATCGCCTTGGCTAGTGGATGCTCGCTGTTCACCTGATAAATCAAACATGTCAAAACATAATGCGAATCGGACGTGGAAAAAGTTCGTAAAATCAGCAAAGAAAAAAAGAAGAACAAGATTACCTCAGCAGAAGCAGCTAGAGATATAAAATCTTCAAGACTCATATCTTTCAAGAGTCTACAGCTGACCACCACTGGCTCCCCAACGGTGAGAGTTCCCGTCTTGTCGAAAACTATGCAGTTCACCTGCCACGTCACGTGTAAACGAGTTACGTGAAATTATTCCACTTCTGATTGAGGCTTACTTGAAATTCTCTTAACAAGAAACTACCAAATCATTTACACCATGGTGTTTATTGAGAGTGTCAAAACTGAACAAGAAACATTTTGTACTAAGAGAATATTTTTATAGGGGTTGATACAGTTAACAGACCTTGTGAGTGGTTTCTAATGCGCGGCCGCCTTTGATCAGCACACCCTGAGAAGCACCCACACCTGTGGCTACCATAACAGCTGTTGGTGTAGCTAGACCAAGTGCACACGGGCAAGCTATCACCATAACCGATATCCCAAACTGAAGCGCTAGCTCGAACCCATTCATAAAAGACGGGATCAAAGATTTCGGGTACTGATTCAATTTCCCCGCACAAAACCATGCAAACCAAGTCGAAATCGATATAATTATCACCTGAAAATTATTGAATATCCAAAGCATCAAGACTTAATAATGTATATATTTTTATTTTATTTTTATCATTCTTACATACCAGAGGAACAAAGAATTTCGAAACAAGATCAGCAAATTTCTGAACAGGGGCTTTCGCCATCTGAGCCGACTCGACCAGCCGGAAAATTTGCGACAGGGCACTCTCCGGCCCCACCTTAGTTGCCTTAACATGCAGCACCCCGTTCGCATTCAAAGTCCCTCCAATGACTAAATCGCCCTTTCGTTTTACCACCGGCTTGGATTCCCCCGTGATCATGCTTTCATTCACGTGACTCTGCCCCCACACAACAAGCCCATCGCACGGTATCTTTGCCCCAGGCACAACTCTCAACACATCGTTCTTTTGAATCAACCGACTCTCGATTTCTTGCTCGTTCAACAAATTCCCATCTCTATCAAATGTCAATAGCGTGGCTTCTTGAGGGGACAAGTCCATTAGTTTCTCCATGGCCTCGGATGTTTTCCCCTTAGCCAGAACCTCCAAATATTTACCTAACAATATAAACGAGATGAGCATCGAGCTCGTCTCGAAAAAATCATTAGACTCAAAATTCGGTGAGAAAGCAGCTCTTAGAACCGAATAGACCGAGTAAAAATAAGCCACGTTTGTTCCGAGTGCAATCAAGACGTCCATATTTGACGAGCCACGTCTCAATGCTTTATAAGCCCCGGTGTAAAATCGCCGGCCAATGATGAATTGGACCGGCGTGGTTAAAATCCACCTCAGAACCTGGCCAATGCTGAGATTATTCACAATTTTCACATCCAGTCCGTGATTCACACCGGGGATATACATAAACACCATCGACATTAGAAAAACAGGAACTGTAAACAACAAACTGCAGAGGAAGCATCTGTAGTACTGTTTGATCTCGTCCTCTCGACGAGCTTCCTGTCCTTCTCTTTTGGAAAACATTGTTGCGTTAAACCCGCACGACTGAATGGTTCGGATAAAGTCTCTGGGGCCCGTCAAACCGGGTTCGTACAAAATCGACAACTTTTGAAGCTTTGTTTCAAAGTTGACTTCTTGAACACCTGGCAGTGACTTGAGAGAGTTTGTAACTATGGCGATTGAATTTTCGGTTTGTAGTGCTTCAACTTTGAGTTGTACTTTGCTGCTATTTTCTCCACTGCTGATGATTTCGCCTTCAAATCCGATTTCGTGGACTTCTTCCAAGATTTGGTTGCAGGTCAAGATTTTCGGGTCATAGTGTACGTGGACTTGTTTGTCGAGTAATACGACTAGTGCCTTTTGTACGCCATGCACGGCCGATAAACGGTGTTCTATGGTCGTTGCACATGAGATACAGTTAAGGCCTTGTACATGTATTCGACTAACTAGTTGAGCGCTTGTCTCGTTTATGTCCTCCTCGATCAATTCGGCATCGAACCCTGCATCCTCGATCGCCTCACGGATGTTTTCCACCTGCGTTTTTTCGGCAAAAATGAAAATTTTTTAGCCTCTAAAATCGATGAACTTTCGCTACGTATCTTAAATATCTACTTCGACAGTTTTAAGCATGTGCACATGATCGATTACATCGTATTTGTACACGTCTCATTAATCCAACATCATGAAATTAACACATAAGAAGAAGGAGATTTTGTTCCAAAAGTGGTACCCTTTTGGACAGGTGAATACGTTTGTTTGAACTAGGGCTGAGCATGCGACTCGAGGAATTTCGAATCATTCTAAAAACCGAACTGAAATTATTCCGAACCGAAAAATAACCATTGATCATTTGACTTTCTTTGAATCGAACCGCGCCGAAGAACCGAATTTTAAACAGAATTATAAAAATAGATGTGTGATACTGATATATTTTATGCTTGATCTTATATAATTTGAAAATTTGTAAAATGAAAAAAATATAGTTATAACAATTAAACTTCACTTAAATTTTATGTTTAGTAATACTTAAAATCTACAATTGAATTTTTCTTGTTTAAGAAAAATATATTTAAAATGGTATGAAAGGTTAAATGAATATTTTTTTAAAAAAATTTAAACATTACGTAAATTTGTCGATACTACTCTTATTCTATCTTAACTAACATGGTATGTAAGGTTAAAAAATATTACTTTACTAAAAAACTATATTATATTTCGTTTAATTTTGAATTTTCAAATGTAAGTTGCACAAATTTAGTATGAACTAAAATTTAGAGTTATTTTTCCAGTTGATATAAAAATAAAATCTTTAGTAAGATAAATTATTGATGAATGTTGGATTTAAAAAAAAATATGAAAACTAAAATACAACTAGGCAGCCATTCAAAAAAAATTAGAAAAATAATTAGAAATGTCTGAATATTCGACTTGAACTGAACTGTTTCGATAGTCCCGATAATGGAACCGAAAATGAAAATTTCTGAACCGAACCGAACCATTTTTTTGGTATTGTTCCAAAAATTGAATTTCAGTAATTTTTGAACTTCGGTACGGTTTCGGAGATTTGTCAATCTCCGAACCGTATCGACCCATGCTCACCCTTAATTTTAATTTTTAACCAATGTTTGCTTTCGTTAACTTTGATTATTAGTGAGGCAGATCCCACTCAGTTAACTAGAGATCTTTATGATTGTTTAAAGTTATTACAAGATAATGTCGTCATAGTACGAGTGTCCACTCAGCGTCCAAATTTTTTTACTAATTATTACACAAAACTTGTTTGTTACATGGTCCACACAATACTGGTATATTTTAAACACTAAAAATAATTATATATCCGAAATTTTAAATGTCATTTGGATATCTTATATTATTAATTTATTTTTTTAATTATCACTAACCCAACACAT